GAAGGAAGGTTGGGCAATCCTACTTCCGTAGTGATACTGCCTCGGAAACCCAAGGAGGGGTCACTATGAGTCGGGGCCCACTCGACGGCATACAACAACAACAACAACATAGAGTAGCTAAGAGTCAGAATCGACTCAGTGGAAGTGGGTTTGGTTGTTTGGGTTTATGGCAGTGGTTAAAGTGCTCAGCTGCTAACGGAAAGGTTGACAGTTTAAACACACCAGCTGCTCCACAGAAGAAAGATGTGGCAGTCTGCTCCTGTAAAGATTACAGCCTTGGAAAGTCTATGGAGCAGTTCTGTTGTGTCCTGTAGGGTTGCTATGAGTTATAGCAACTGCAATGAGATGTTTTAGTAACTGTAGACTCAAAAAGCTCAGCTGCTGTTCCATTCCTTCCACCTGTGTTATGTTAAGTGGCTGGGAGCCTTTGTGTATGATGGTCTTAAGTGACTGGGTTAGTAAGCCAGTCTTTTAAACAAACCAAGGGTGTTATAGCTGCTATTCTGGTGTCTGCGAGGAAGTATGTCAGTTGACAGAACTAGTTTTATTATGGCTGAAGTTCATTTCCAGGGGACTCATTAACAGAGTCATTATTAGTCATATAGCCAAACTTTATGTTTAAAAATCTGAAACAGTAAGCTATACACAGTGTCATTACATATGATATGTGCAAGATACCAGTTCATTTGCAGACTCCTTCCCATCTCCGAAAAGGTGCACTTCTCCCAGGTTAGATGGCCTCTGAGAAAGTGTGGACCATTTAGGACCTTTAACGTAAATGACAAATTACCTGTGATTTAAGCTAAGCAGAACTGACTAGGTAACTGGGCGAGTACTAAGTAATTGGAATCCATGTCAGCCATTATGATCCCTGAAAGGCAGGAGAGATTTTTGTTGTCCTGTGGTACATTCTAGGGATGGTGTTCCCCTCCTCTGGAATGGCTGTTTAAATCTCCACAAAGCTTTCTAGATTCTTCAGGTCCTCAAGTGTTCCTTCTCTTTTGAACCTTAATGGTTATCTTATTATTCTCTGTACATGTGCAGTCACCATCAGTCAGAGTCAACTTGACACCAGCTAACATGACAGGCTTTAGCACTTCATTATGGGTGATGTTCTACACAGATTTTCCATGCTTGACAATTTTGTCTTCCATAGTGGGCTGTAACTACATGTTTCAGAATGTTTATTTTACTTTTGTTAGCACTAGATTCTTTCTGTAACTGTTTAGTATTTAGAACTCTTTAAGTCGTCCTATTCTTCACATACAGCACTAAAATGTTCTAGGGTTGTTTGATTGATTAAAAAAAAGTATATTTATATTGAATCTGCTGCAATAAGCAATTTTAAGTTATTTTTTCAGCTTGGATTCCTATCCAGTGATTTCTACGTAAGAATTGTTTTCCACATATATAATGTATTTTAAAATGTAACCTCAGTTAGTTACACATATGATTCTTTATAAAAGTAATGATTTCAAATTACCTAAACTTTTAATTTCCAGATTCTGTTTTTGTTTTTAAATCTTACTACATACGAATTTTCCAATCTAGATGTGATATTTGCCTTTAATTTTCATTGAATTGAATCCCTTTAAATTCATTCCTTTCTAATCTCTTTTAATAAAGATTTAACATATATATTAAAATTCTTACCTCACACATAGATTAAACAAAGATAATGGAGTTTTAAAATCAATGAATAAAATAATTGGAACACAAATTTTCACAGAGTTGTTTATGATATTAACTAAAATACATTCTTTTCACAGAAATGATGGAACAAGACCCAAAATGACACCGTATGTCATTTCCCTCTTTTAAAACTTCATTTGCTCGTTTGAACTTTATTTTTTAAATAGGATGTGGATTGTTTTTTAGGAGAAATAGTCTCCTGGGGCCACTGTTGTCCTCCTTCAGAACATCTGCTTTGTAGTCACCATTTGAGCTTCAATTAAATAAAAATTATCATAACTAAAATAAATCAAATAAACCCTGCAATTCATATTTAAGGTGAATTTGTGAGCATTTGAATGTACTTTGGTAAAATCAGAAGAAGAAAATACCATGTGGAGGCAATGAACCATTTCTATCCAATTCATTTGGTACAGTGCCTAATTCAGTAACATAGGATCAGGTGGAGTAGTGAATCAGTAGTGATTGTCATCCAATGTAGTGTCTGGGCAGAAGGAGAATTCTATGTAAGATGAACAGACTTAAGTGGCAAAGAGCTCACAAAGGCCAAGGATTCCACAAAACTTGTTGTGGGAAAAGAAATAGAGGAAACTCGAGAAAGAGACAGTAAAAACAGAGATGCTCTTAGATACTGAGACCGAAATTGTGAGGTGGGGTAATGATAGAATTAAAAGTACTGATCAAAATCACCCTGATTTTAGAAGTTAGAAAAGTTTGAGAAGCTATTAGTTTAAAGGGAGATTGATAGACTTGTGATCAAAAGACGATTTTTATTCAGTTGTAGCTGAGTATTTTATTTTGTGTTTGTCTTTGATCACCAGTTTTGAAACATTACTTTTCTCTGGGGGTTTGCTTAGATAGACCTCCAACCTATTTGTAGCCAATGTTCATTTCAAGGACATTGGGATAAAGGAGTCCTGCCCCCCTTGAAAATCAGAGTACCAGTTGGTGGCAGGCATCCAGGAAACTGTGATGTGCTCTGAATCAATCCTACCCATCTTATTTTCTTAGGATTTTTACTGATTTGTAAGGTTTTGAGGTTACCAGCGTCTGATGAATAGAATAATAAAAAAATAATTAATTATAGAAGGAACAGAGCAAAGTGCAGGGAAATAAAATAAAGTCAATGAAGTGTTGATGAAAATGAAACTTCAGATATGTACAGGGAATTAAACAAATACTGAGAAAAGTTACACTCTCCTGAGTAATAAAAGAAAAATAGGTTTTTTTTTTTTTTTTTGCCTTTGGAAAATGTGACTTGCAGGGTCAGAATGCTTCAGATCTTTAATTTAAAAAGAACTTCATGTACTTAGATTCTTTTTTTTTTTTTTATCTTTCAAGCTTGCTTTGATTTAGAATGTTAGAGCTTTGAATTCATTAGAGTCTTATTTAAACTTTGACACTATAAAATATATCAGCTTGGTTTATCACCTTTATGCCATGTCTAATTAATATTTATTAAGCAACTCCAGTAAAAAAAAAAATCCTTGTATAAGATGTGTGTACAGCCTGGTTTCCTGTATGAAATTAGAAAATGCTATTTATATTTTATACATAGAAAATACTACAAAGCATGGCTCTCAGGAGATGTTAGCTAAAAGTTCATTGCTGCTAAAATGGGGACATGTTCAAGTAACTTCAACTGATTTAAACAAAAATTTTGCTGTATTTTATATCATAGATTTTACAGAGTAAAATAATTGTAAATAGCTAATAAATCAGTAATCCTATTGAAACTAACTTTTTAAAATAATTTATAATGTTTTTTATGTAACCTTGATACTTTTTTTTATAGGGAACAAATGGCCAAAGAAATGTCAGAAATTTTGAATAGGTTAGTGCAGTGTAATTTGGGAAATAAATGAACACCTCAAAATCATATTTTTAAATCACTTTTGATTACTTGGACCAGAACCTGATATATAAATAACCTCTTCCTTTTCATATAAATGTTCTGTATGAAAATATCGCTCCCCTTTCATCCCACCCCAACAAAGAGAAAGATAAAAAGCAATGTTCTCTAAATCAGTGTTCCTCAATGAGGATACCATTGGCATTTTGAATGGGACAATTTCTTGTTTGTGATCCTGCCCTGATTATCACCAACTTCCACCAATTCAGTCTCATGTGGGGTCATCTTCTCTGGCATTGTGACAGAACATTTTGAAACTCCCTGTAGGGTTGGTTGGTATTGCACCCTGGTTTGGACATCTCTGTGTCTAATCATTGGCATCACTAGAGTTGGTGTCACTCAGTTCAGTAACTTAAGGGGTCACACCACCACCACCACCACTACCACCACCAGGGTTGTATGGCGGCTGGCCCACCCCAGTGCAGGTGCAGGGACGAGCTTTCTACTGAGTGGTATCCTTGCCCCTGTGGTTACCCAGCAGCTCCTCCACTCTCCCATTGGCCCATCGAGTGGTGGGCGTGGTGGCCCAGCGACAAGCACACTGGTTAGCGAGCACATTTGTGTGACAACACTGCCTTGGTGGTCCCTCTCCTATCTGTGCCAGTCTGACTGCCACCACCACACCACAGACCCTGGGGTCATTTTGGTGTCACCTCCTTTGGCAGTATCATAGACTGTGGTCCACACCCCTCACCTCCTTTAGTGATGCCACTGTGCTTAGTTGAAGGGGATAAAGAGGAAGAGTGTGGCTTCTGCGGGGTTCTGCACCAAAGCACACAGTTTAAAAACTGCTGGTGTAAAAATTCAGCCTCCAAGGAATACAACCACAGCAAGATCTGGTCCATTACCTTTATAGATGAATCAGTAACATTTTAACTGCCAATTTTAAAGTTGCAAAATTAATTAAAATGTTAAATTAATGTACTTTTAAAAATCAAAAGTTAATTTTACTACAACCTTACTCTGTCGTTTACATGATTGCCTTTATAAACAATCTAAGTAATCATTAAATTGTACCTTTATTTTACTATCTTAATAACTTTAGAGTTACTGTAAGCATTTAAGTGCATTGCATTCATGTACTCAGGATGCTTCATGTTTAACTCAGCAAGTGCATTTTGGTTAGAGGAGATATGAATGAGAAGTTAATAATACTAAAACTATTTTAAGAAATAATAGGTTGAATTCATTGTTACTTTTTAAAAGTATCAGAACATATGTATATTTTGTCAATCTGTAAAACTGCATATTATGTAAATTGAATTCAAAAGAAAAGAAAAGCTGAATAATTGTCAGCTGCTCTCTTAGAAAAGACTTCTGGAAGTGCTAGAAAAACAAAATTTTTTGTTTATTGAATGGTGGCTTAGTGATGCAGAAAAGAAAAAAGTATTTGAATAAATGTTAAAGCATTAATTTATTGTGAAGGGTAACAGAGAGACCCTGTGGACACACAGCTGGCTCTTTCTGAGCTAAACAGTTAAGAACAAAAAGCTACATGGAAAATAGCTAGTCACAAACTTATGAAAAGTATGGATTATACTATAACTGAAAACAGATTTTAACCATAGAATGGAGGAAAGACCTTCGGACACACGTCATTCCTTAGCCATCTTACATGTGACTAACGATAACTATATTTAACAATTGAGAAGTATGTAAATGGAAGTATGCTATTTTGTTATTCTCTAAAATGAAAGCATAAATAAGCCTTTCAAAGATACAAAGACCTTTTATTTGTTTCATGTTAAGGTTAGTATTGAAGGAATGAAATTTCTTCAGAAAGAAAGTTACGTATTTTCAAACACCAGGTTTCAGAAACATCTATTTCTTGATAGTTTGCTAGGATTTCTCTTTTCTTTCAATTTGTAAAATGACAAGAAAATATATGTATAAATGAACTCATTTTCTGATACTCTATCTTGGCTATCCCTTTTTAAGAATTGTTTTCCAAGTAGTAAATGATAAAGGAGAAAAACTCCTTGTGTGATAACTGAGAAGCAATATTTTAATTCTTTAATATTTGTTCTTTTTATAGTTGTATCATCTTCTCATATCTTAAAATGTGATATGTTTAATTCTTTCTTTGTTACATTGAGCTTAAAAATCTGGTTGCAGCTTACTCTTTAAGTTTCTTCTATGTGAAAGAGTATGGGAGTTCTGGTGGTGCAGTGGTTAAAGCACTCAGCCACTAATCAAAAGGTTGGCAGTTTGAACCCACCAGCTGCTCCACAGGAGAAAGATAAGTCTGTCTGCTTCTGTAAAGATTTACAGCCTTGGAAACCCTATGGGGCAGTTCTACTCTATCTTATAGGGTCTCTATGAGTCAGAATTAACTCCATGACAGTGTGTTTGGTTTGGTTTTGGATGTGAAAGTGTTATCCTTTGTTGAAAAATAATGTTCAGTATTAGAGAAAAGATATTGTTCCCATATTTGCCAAATAAGCATCTCAAATCATGTATACAAAAAAGAGCCTTGAGCACTGAGTAGCATTGTTACACAGAAGTTGCGTTTATTCCACTGCAGTGTGTGCTTTAGATTTTCTTTCTTCTTTTACCATCTAACTGTTTCTATTAAATGGGACAAGGTACAACTCTTGTGCCCTTTGAAATTTCTGTTTCTGTCTCAGGACCTAAAACCTCTTCCTGTCATTTACCTAGTAGTCATACTATTCACTAAATGTGAGGTTGTGGTTTTAGATTGCTTATCTTAGTGTTTTCTAAATATTCTCTCACTAAAGCAAAAGGCAAACTCACTGCTGTTGAGTTGTTTCCCGCTCATAACAACCTGTCCTTGGGTTTGCGGGGAAGTAGATTGCCCAGTCTTCCTTCTGTGGTGTGGCTGGTGGGTTTGAACTGCCAGCCTCCTGGTTAGCAGTCAAATGCCTTAGAGCTCCCAAATATTTTTTCACAGCAAAGTTAGAAAGTCATAGGAGTTGTAAGTCTCCAGCAACTCTTTTAGCCTATCTTTAATGACTGACCTGTGGACCCTGCAAACATCTAGGTGCTCAGGAGATTCTGGGCCAGTAGGCTTGGCTGAGGCTGGGCCATCTGTAGCTTTCAGTGGGTAGTGCAGGTAGTTGTGCTGTGTGGCCTAGTGGCTTATAAACCATTCATTTGTGATTCTAATGATTTTTCAAGTATGTTGAAGATTTCTTTTTTGATTTTGAGAAATACTTGTCAATGTATTTAACTTCAGATGTTGTATCAGTCAGCATCAGTAATAACATTTAAACTGGAAATTTAGAGGAAGTCCATGACAGAATATTGGTGTTAAAAGTTCTCATTTAAAACCTAACATGGCTGTTAAAAAGGTGTGCTGGAAATTTTAATTTATGCCTGATCATCTTTTATATGCCATTTGTCAGTCTCGTCTGTCAAGGATACAAAAATGATTATAGGTTTTTTTAGTAGTCATTTTCATTTCCCAAATTCATGCTCACCTTCTTGCTTCTGCAGTCAATATTTTGTCCATGTTTCTAGCTTAAATATTTAAAAATATCTAATAATTGCAGAGGTCCTGCTGTACAAGCTACCAAAGCAGCTGCTGGTACCAAGAAACACGATCTCAGTACATGGAAATACGCAGAGCTACGTGACACCATCAACACTTCCTGTGGTAGGTGCATGGAGAGGGCTACCGAAGGCGGTGCCATACCTGATAAAGCTGATACCTGGGCCAGGGCACTGCTTTGTTGTTGTTCTTACATAAATCAGCTTAAGCTGGTCTCTTTGTTACTTTCCCCTTGAAATGAAGACCTAGTTTATTCACAAAGCTAAATGAAAAACATGCTTATTAAATGTATTTTGCTCATCTCTTTCATAGGTTGGGGAGGAAGAGCAAAGACAAATTACCATTTGGGTTCTATTAATAACTGGCCCTTCTATTATTCATAATAGTTAAATATTTAATACCTGAATTTGGTCCATGAATGCAAAGTAACAAATGACAATGGCAATCCTTTCTTTGTAACACTGTTTTTTTTTTTTTTTTTCCCCAAGAGAATAATTAGAGTAAAATATATCCAGAAGTTCCTCACAATTGTTTTCCTGTTTAAATCAGTGTTTGAATTCAGCACATTATAAAGTGTTATAGTCATTGAATTCCTCACCGTTTTTTCCTTCCTCACTGAATGTATCTTCCTGATTACAAACAACAACAACAGAATGTGTTGCATATAGATATAGCTTGATTTTGAGCACAAGTGACTTTTTGTTCTTTTGCCAAAGCCTTGTGGCCTTGTACAAATCACTTAACCTCTCTGATTCAGTGTCCTCATCTGTAAAAGACTTATTTAGCTTTTAGCTAAATTTTGCCTAAGGTTTCTGTGTGGAACAAATTATACTAGATAGTAACAATATATAAGAAAATGCTCTATAAATATAAAAGATAATATTACCACATAATGCTTTGTCAACAGTTAGCTTACCTTTGGTTTTATACTATTAATTTAAAAATAACATTTATGTCATAGAATAATTAATTTCAGATGATTTAATTAAAATGCTGATATATAAATATATGTGTCTATTGAGTCGGATCCAACTCATCGCGACCCCTCCTTGGGTTTCCAGGCATTATCACCATGGAATAGATTGCCCAATCTTCCTTCTGAGGAGTGACTGGTGGGTTTCAACTGCCAGCCTTCTGGTTAGCAGTCAAATGCCTTAGGCACTACACCACCAGTGCTCCTGATATATATGTGTGTGTTTGTATATATATATGTTGTTGTTGTTATGTGTCGTCGAGTTGGACCCAACTTATAGCGACCCCTTCTTGGGTTTCTGAGGCAGTATGACTATGGAAGTAGATTTCCCAACCTTCCTTCTGTGTGTGTGTGTGTGTATACATATACATATATATATACACATATATGTATATATATATGTATATATATGTAATTTATTTATTTGTTTATTTATTTATTCCCCTCTTTCTATATACTTGATAGATATTGAGCTCCTGGCAGCTTGCAGAGAAGAATTTCATAGGAGACTAAAAGTGTATCATGCTTGGAAATCCAAGAATAAGAAGAGAAATACTCGAACAGAGCAACGTGCTCCAAAGTCTGTTACTGACTATGGTAAAAAAAAAAAAATCTGTATTTTCAAATGTTCCAAAGTTTATGTATATAAGTACATGTAACTGTACATGAGATGTTTGGGTAAAATGCCCATACAAAATTTCTTTTAAAAGGGAACTGTGACTTCCTGAACCTAACACAGGTATCTATAATGACAGCCTATCATTTATACTTTTTTGTTTCTACTGAATATATATTTAAATACTCAGTAGAAAATGCCATATCTGTTTGGCAGTACTGAATTTGCTTGTTATAATAGAGGTTTTAGAGGTAAGAGTTTTCTTATCTACTGAAGAATTTGTGCAGTACTATTGTGGATACATACTTGTATCATGTATGCACACATATGTACAAATTACATGTAGTAAAGATTACTATGAATCTTTCACTGTATGTATGAAGTGAATTTTACATATGAAAATGAGTATTTTTATACTTGCCATAAAGGATCTTATTTAATCTTTATTTAAACATTTTTTTTCTTAATTTTTGAAAAGTGTAGCTCAGTTTTTAGGGTTATTTCCCAAATAACTAAACGTTACCACCTTTTTTATAATAGGATTGTAGTCTCAAGAAGAAAAGACTTGGTTTATGTGTTATCCATGAAAATGCTAACTCCTTTGTTTGAAAAAGAAGAATGTTTACTGCAAACATTATTTTATAATACTGTGACAATGAAGAAGGAAAAAATAATACCTTGGTTCAGACCAGAGGTTTAGGCCAGGACATGAATTTCTGACTAGGACCCTAAAAATGGTTTTTGTGATACAAAAAGCAAAATGGCACCCTTGAAATTGAAAAATAGAGCTGTATAGCCATAACCTAGTAGAACATACACTAGCTTTTATATCAGTTAAAAATAACCTGTGATGTTTGAGTAGTAATTTCATTTTTAAAAGCAGTAATTAGAATTTGATTTGCTCAACTTGCTACTTTCAAATTGGTACAATTTATTAGCTTAATTCTGGCTAATGTCAAGATGACATTAGATTTAGTGTCATTTTGTTTTTTAAGGGACATATTGTCAACACGTGACAATAGAACATAATCCAAGTTGACTTAGAAAATGGGCTCTTGGTTATTTTTTGCTTCCTCACTACCTTCTAAGTAAATAATGTTTGACCAAAAGTCAATTAAATAGTAGAATTCAGTGTTTCTAAGTTGTTGAAAAGAGTAGGTTGAGAAAAATACTGTTATTAATACGAGAGATGCTAATGCCAGTGACTGCTCAGTGGGTGTCATCCATCAGAATATACAGTATGGAGAGGCACATTGACATATTTTGACAGTCTCAAAAACAGCAGGTGGAAACCCTCTAACTATTGACCTTGTGACCAGCACTCTTTTCTCAAGTTTAAAATTTTGCCTCTATGAATTGAAAATATCAGGATTTTTTCCCATTACATGTTCACTGTCTGTATCCTGTTTCTGGACACAGTTACTTTTTCTTGTAAAAATGGCAATGAGCTATTATTTTTAACTGTAATGTTCCTATCATATCCTTTAACTGACCTACTTGAAATATGTTATATTTCAATTTTTTTTTTCTTAAAAAATTAATGCTTTCATATCTGGCATGTAAGTTTTTAATGAATATACAAAGATTTATTGCATTTTTAAATCAAACTTTGATACATTACACATCCAACTACCCCCAAAAGGAGAGTAATACAGGGCTCACCGTACTGATTAATACATTATTTCTGATCATAATGTAATATTTGGAAGAACAAAAGAAGAGTAGGTTAAGAAAGTTTCCTGAGTCCATCCAGGTATATGAAAAACTTAGGAAATTTCTGTGTGAATATAATCCACCTGTATTTGTACACAATCCACTTATATTTAGCCTTAAGAGAATTTGATTATAGACCATTTTCAAGATAAATATAACTTCTCCTCTGAAAACTACTTATGTTTTTCTGTATATTTATTTCATATAAAATTTCTTTTGAACAGGAGTGTAGCTAAAAGGAAAGGTGAAAGTCATTAAGGTACAGAAGAGCTTAGTTGGAAAAATTCTGTGCTTGGATTGCTTCCTAATGAGACAGCATTAAAGTTCCTTTAAAAGGAACTTTTATGTAGTCTAATATTTAGAAGGACTAGAATACATTTTCTTTGAGAATATAAAATAATGATAACTTTGAGTAACAAAAATATAAATTGATATTACTGACTTAAAGAACAATACATTGACTGCGCATCATAAACTCTTACATTAATGAGTAAGGAGCCTTTGACCCTCTTCATGACTGCTTTACTGGTGGAACATGCTCTCATTTCATTTACTGTAGAAAGAGATTACCAGAAATAATTTTTTGGGAAGGGAACAATTACCCAGAAAAAAAAATACACCTACTTTTCACTTACCAAATTATCTGACACTTCACATGTACAATGGTAAAAAATTAGCTAATGTCAACTATTCTGTGCTTTAACAACGTACATCTTCCAGTAACAAATGCCGAGGTTTGAGGCTAGAATAATGCTGGCTCTGATGGTTGTGTGTCAACTTGGCTGGGCCGTGATTCTCAGTGATTTGGCAGTTACTTAATGATGTAATTTGGCAGTTACAGAATATGTTGTCATCCTCCATTTTGTGAACTTATGTGGTCATCCTCAATTTTCACATAATACTGACTTTTACGTAACAGCCTGGTGATTGGATCCTAACTACGTTGATGAGTGAGGAGTGGGTGGATTTAATTGCTTAAAACAAAAATTTTGAAAGTGTTTTCATCTTACAGTTTCTGAAGTAATAAGTCATGAGTTTAAGATTTAGTTATCTGAAGAAATTAAAACATACTAAATATATGTATGAAAAAGTAGCAATGCTTTTTCTTATCTAAATTCAATTTTCTGATGAGTTTAGATGTTATTTATTTTTTTTCCTATGAAAATTATAGTGATGTTTAAAAACTAAAAGGTACTGTGATGTCTGTTATTAAGTGATGATGTTGGGTTTCATCTTACTATGTCACAAAATTCAAAATACAACTTTAAAATTTTGATCCCCTTCATAGGTGCGTCAAGCAGAATTTTCAGAAGTGTAATGAATCGAATAGCTTTAAAAAATCAAAAAGCACAACTACTTGTAGTTCTGTCTGAGAATATTTGGCTTATAGATTGGATAGCTACTTGTTAGTCACCACCTCAGTTGATGGAAGAGCTTTATAAATTATAGCAATGCTCATTTAACAGTTTGGCATTTTTATCTTTTCTTCAACGTAAAATATTTGTTCACAGATTTTGCACCATTTTTGAACAATTCACGTAAGTCAAAGGGTGGTAACTCATGAGCTAACTGGAAGATGGGTTAAAAATACTTTATAGAGTACTAACATCTATTGAACGTTGTTTTGCTACAATTTTAAGTGTAGAACGTTAATGTTCGTTCATCTGTAGTCCAGTATATTTTTATTTGACATGTTAATTTTATTAGATCACATTAAAACTCTCCAAAATATTTACATATGCAAAACAAAATCTATTGTTTTATCAAATTACTTTAAAAAAAAAACTAGTATTTTAAACTGTGATTATATACCATTCTTCTTATTGTAGCAAAACTATCTTAATAAAGCAGCTGATCTTTTTAGATTAAGACTAACTTTAAATGCTGGTCTCAAAGACTGTATTTTCAAACACTATGATAGTGTATTCATTTTTGTCTAAAGAGATTTCAGTTTTGTATGATAATGTGTTCAGGATTAATATGATACCTCCTAATCGGAAGCAATGATTTTTCTATTATTTTTATAGCTTCCTGTGATGCACATTCTTTGATCATTTAGAAGCTGTGAGTTACCTTAACCCATTGCTGTCAAGTCAGTTCCAACTCATAGCAACCCTGTAGGACAGAGTAGAACTGCCCCAGAGGGTTTCCAAGACTGTAAATCTTTATGGAAGCAGATGGCCACAACTCTCTTCTGCCAAGTGCTTTAACCACTGCACCACAAGGGGTCCCTAAGGCACCTTAGTGTACAGTAAATTTCTTTTACAATCAGTAAAATCAGTTGATCAGTAATGATTTGTATATAATGCCATATTCATTTATCAACTAGTTGGGCCAATTTTTTTTAAGTATTTTTTATAACTTAGAGGGCTACCTACGTTTGAAACTTACTTCACACTTTTGAAGACAACTCAAATGAAGGAAACAGTTAAGAAGTTTAATTTCAAGCTTTTAATGTTTGTATCTTTGTACTTTTCCAGATTTATATTAGTTTCCAGACCTCTCCAACAAGATTTCAGTTCTTCCATCAGGAGAAAAAGCTATCATAGATAGCCTGTGTAGTTTCTTAGTTTTACCTAATGTATTTAAGTCATAGGAGACTAATATTTTCCATATGCCTTTAAGTTATAAAAGAAAAAAGTAGTACTAAATAATGAATGACCATCAGTATCATAGTAAATTGCCTCTCAAATGGATATTGGATTCTAGTTCACACTACTGAAGAGCCATCTTCATTTTTTTTTTTTAAGTCTGTCTCTTTTTTTTCTTTTGAGTTAGTGTATTTTTCCACAAATTAGGTAATTTTTTAAAACTGGAAGTAGAAAGACATAACTGTAAGTCACTTTAAGGGGACAGGAACAAAAGAATAAAAAAACACATTTCTGTTAATATGCTAAAGGCGATGGGGCTTTTTAAAGTCACTAACAAAACTGGGCCTCTGTTTCACTCTCTCATGGGCATATAGCTTTGCTAACTGCTTTTTGCTTTCTCTGGTTTGCAAAGACATTCAATTGCTATAAAGCTTTTGCTATGTATCTTGGTATAAAAAATAGAATAAAAGTATTGTCATCCTCTCAGTATTTGGAAATTCTCACAAAAGCCATGTAGCTACTAATGACATGTATCAGATATATAATTTCTCATTGACATCTTAGCTTTTCACAATGAGATTTATAATTGACCTCCAATAAATGGTTGGTCTACTTTTAAAGGTATGAGTCTAAAGAGTATTAAACAGGCTGACAGAAATATGCTGCTAAAGATGGAAAGTCATTGCTCCAGGAAAATATTTACATTTTCAGATAAAATAAAAACCCACCTATTCAGTAATTGAGCAATGGGAGAAAGTTTGGTATGAGTGTAGTTCCCAGTACAGGCAGAAAAGCAAGGACTTTTCTACAGGCAAAGAGAACCAAAATTGTATACTTCCACTTACTTTAGTGAATTTTATTCTAAGAAAACAGTTGATTTCAGAGTAAGTAAATATCTTTCAGGGAAAGTGTAAGCTTATTAGCTTACTGTTAAAATTTGTTGTTGTTGTTAAGTTGTCTGAATAGCATTAATAAAATATTTACATTAGGTTGGCCATTTTAAAACCCAAAAGTAATTGATAATAGAAAAATGTTATGTTTTCTGTTTTTTTGTGTGTGTGGAAATTGTAGTTACATTGACAAATACTTATATCCTTCATATTTTTTAAATTGTTCATTTCATTTTATCATATTTGGTCCAACAAAAGTTATTTTGTAACCTTCATTAGAACTCTTTGGAAGGAGCATAGAAACCTAGTTAATAACACTAGTTTTCTTTCCTGCCATGTTGAGTTTATTTTAGGTTACTGCTGTGCATTTGTGGAAATCCGTTAAGGGTTTGTTTTGTTCATGGTGGTGTTGGTGGTTGGGGTGTGTGTGTATTGTGTGTGTATGTGTGTGTGTTTGCAATGCCAAGGAACATCTGTAGGGAAAGAAAATTCTAAGAAATCACACTCTGAATTACATTCATTTATAGTCAAATAACATTTATATTGTCTTAAATTTACCATTAGGAACCTCTCTTCTTCCTTTTTGAAAAAGTTTTCTTGGTGCATTTTAGGATTAAAGGCTGTTTCTTTTTCCCTTGAGCTGCTAGTGTAACTTGCCTTGTTCTGTGTAATAGCTCAGCAGAACCCAGCGGCTCAGCTTCCTGCCAGGCAGCAGATTGAAATGAACCGACAGCAGCGCTTCTTCCGCATCCCATTCATCCGCCCTGCTGACCAGTACAAAGACCCGCAGAGTAAGAAAAAAGGCTGGTGGTATGCCCATTTTGATGGACCATGGATTGCTCGGCAAATGGAACTCCATCCTGACAAGCCACCCATTCTTCTTGTGGCTGGTGTGTATGATTCACATGAAAAATATTTATAAAACAAAAACAGATTATAAACCCTCTGAATGAAACCTTCTAAATTTATGTAAATCTCAGGGGTGAAGGGATGGTAGTTTTGTAGTTAAGTCACATTTTCAATTAATGGAGGATAAGCTGATTTATACTATGAAATTGCTTGTATTTATTGGGTCTTGTAAAGAATCCAGAAACTTGTCAACATCTTAAGAACATTTTCATTGCTATTAATTATGTTAGTTGATTTGTAATGGCTTGAGAAAATACAGAATTTTTTATTAACCTCAATAACTTGTTTGATTAACAGTAATGTTAGTAAATTTTGAAAGAGTCCTTGGTGGGGGGATAAATTTAAATTATTTCTGGTGCATTTATTAAGAAGATATATGTCTTAGATAAAGAAAATAAAGTCTTAAAAGTTACAAACTGAGACCTTCTTAAATCTGTGAGAATTAATAGTATCTCAGGAATAATGTTTATGGGAAATGATTCTGAAAAGAGGTGTAATTTACTGATGTCTCATGTATGCAGGTAAGGATGACATGGAGATGTGTGAGCTGAATCTTGAAGAGACAGGCCTCACTCGAAAGCGTGGTGCTGAAATTTTGCCAAGACAGTTTGAAGAAATTTGGGAACGCTGCGGAGGCATCCAGTATCTTCAGAATGCGATTCAGAGCAGACAGGCTAGGCCCACGTATGCAACAGCCATGCTGCAGAATCTGTTAAAGTAAACACTGCATACTGACCTTGCAGCTGGGGGCCGTTGCCATGGTTCCAAGGTGTGTGCTCCAGAGATCTCACCACTCCACCATCATGTTAGAGTTACTTATACAAAGTGAACAGATTTTATTAATCATGAGTTTTTGTTAATTTGTTTAAGGTTAATTATGGTAGTGAAATTGGGACCTGAAAATTATTTTCCACTGTTCTCTTAAACCTCTCATTTTTGTATACTTGTAACATTTGGACAGATTCTGACATTTCTCATCTTTTGCCAACAGACTACCTTAAGTGCACCCATCTTAATTATTCTCTGAGAAAAGAATTTTTTAAAAGAATAATAATACTTTTAAGGATGGTACAGTACCATATAACTGGAATAATGAAACCGTAAATATTTTTATGAGAATTAAAGCACTTAAAATGATCAGGGCACTGATATTTTGGTCTGAAAAGCTGTTTACTGTCTTTACTCATTTTTTTCAGAAACTCATGGATACTTCCCCCAAAGGTGGAAGCTTTGTTCCCCCCCACGCCCCCGCTTCATAGTGTGTCTTAGTTTGAGTGCAGCAATTCTAAGTTCTACTGTTCTCGAGAGCACAGTCATGTATTTGATGTACTCTGTAATGAAGGAGGTACTCAGAATGTCCTGCACAGATATGTTTTTTCTTTTCTAGCAAACAGTTGCTATAAGAATGTTCTTTTTATAATTGACAAATAATGGAATTTCCGCTAATTTAAATGCCTAAAAAGTTTTGAAGCAACTTTTGTTTTGCTTAGAAAAGAAAATGGGTTTTTGGTGGCACTGTGGTTTAACTGGCCTGAATTGAAATCGTCTTTCAGTTTCATCTCAGTTAAGATTTTTGTATCAGAATCTTGTCCAAGTTGTTTCATGTGATTAAGCTAGTGTTCTGCTTAGAACTTTTTTTTTTTTAAATTTCCTACTGTTGTTTTGGCCTTTGAGATTTTGGTAATTGTAGAGATGTTTTATAGGCTTTGTAATTCAAAAGCCCTTTTACTTAGCAGTAATTACTTGTTTCACATAACTGATAATTTAAAAAAAAACTTTTTTTTTTTTTCCTTTGTGTGCTGTTAACTGTAATCAAATGTTAGCTGTCTCAAGCCTAATCTTTGTGACTTTCACGTTAGGAATTTAGAGACAAAAATTACATCAAGGAATTATGTTGACATAATCCTAGGAAGTCTTGTTTGTATTTCAGGATAAAATTAGAAAATAAAATTATTCTTTGCATCTTGTTGTTCTGGTTTTTAAAGACCCTAAGCTTTGAAATGAATTCCCATTAATGTTTTTTTCTTAGAAAGGAAACCTCAGTTGGGAAAATACTTCCCAACTGATTATTAGATTAGTGTTGGTGAGCCACAGACACTGTGTTCAGAATTGCTTCTTTCAAAATATGTGTCTTAGTACAGAAATATTTATTTATTATGATACTGTGCAAATGACTGTCTTCTGTTAAAGTAAATGGTCCTGTTTGTGCTATTAATTGAGAATGTGAATGTGATGATCTTTTGAAGGCTGTATTATTACACAGATTCACCCACCCTTGGATCATTTTATCCTTGTGGTTGATGACAGAAGGTCTTGTTAGAAATATATGACCTATTCTCTCTCTCCTAATCTCTTGCCTTTAATCGGTGTTGTTATTTGTATAGGCTAAGGAATAATAACTTTTGTTTCCTAACTAATCACAGGTAATGTCCTTGAGGAAAATTTAGTACCCAAATTGATTTGTAATGACTTGCCCCTTTATACTGTTTTCAGAAACTATATAGATCTCTTACTTATAATAATAGCCACTAGATGGAAAAATTGAAACTACTGTAATCAGAGAACTTTACATTTTGAAAGACTTATATCACAGCAAAGCATTGTCCCAAGTTTTTGACTCTAATAGTTAATAAATCATAGTCATAAGCCATTTTGTTCATAATTATGTTACTCAGCTGTCCTAGAACTTATCTATTTAAAATAGTCTCCTGAGTTAATATTGCCTACCAGAAGAATTGACCTAATTCAGTTAAACTTTCAATAACCTACATACAATAGATGCATATAGACCCAGAGTTTTGATTGCTGGAGAAACTTAGGACCTCATCAACCTTTTAAGGGAAATAGTGCTCTAAAAGAAGTTAATGCATCAGCTTTAACTATATTCACAGCTAACCATATAAAAGCTAGGAGAAAACTGTAGGAATCAAACGTGTATTAATTCATGTTTTGATTAGTAATTTTAATTAAGACTTAAAATTACAAGTTTGAACCAGCAGACTTTACTCTTAATTCTTATGCTTGTCTCGATCAATACCAGTTCCTTCCTTAGTATGTTTTTTTGCAAAGGTAGGTATATATACAACATTAAAAATGAGAGGATGAAATGTTTTTACATTTAATTCAATTACAAATGTAATTTCTAATTCGACTAACCCATTTGAGATCTGTAATGTGAGCTATGGGTGTGCATTGAGGGACGGAAGTTTCACTATTGCACATATGGCAAGAGAACAAAGACTTTCTTAGTTGTAAAGCTGGGAAGATAAAATAATGTACTAGAATCAGGATCCTACACAAAGGTCACTGTATTGTTAGTCATAGTCAACTTCTTATAATGGTTTTTTATGATTTGTTCTTTCCTATAATATAGTGAAACCATTTTGTTTTGCAAACAACCAAGAAAAGATAATCTTAAGTGGAAAAGAGATGGTGTTGGTGGAAGCTTAACTAGAGAATAGAAAACCACAGGCAAGAATAACAATGAGGATTTATGGTTTGTAGTTTCATTAATTGGACATTTCTTTAAAGATATTTTCATTCACAGATTATTACTGTGGTGCTCAGGGGATCCAGGTACATAGATCTTTGGTTTCTTTGCTTACATACATACAGAGTACTTTGGATCAGCAGAATAAATATATATTGACTCAATCAGCGAGTCAGCTAATTATAATTATACCACATTAGTGATAGAACAACCTCTTTTTATGGATAAGGGAGCAGAGATCAAAGGTCAAGTAATTTAGTACTAAATCATGAAGGAAGTAAAAATTCCTTTGTTCCAACTATGTTGAAAAGTAAGAAAGAAAACAAGCACTTTTTTTTTTTTTTTAGGAGCCCCCTGAGGATTTACAAAGGGTTTCTCCTCTGCCATTCTGTATCTTCTGAAGGTGTGGCAGATTTTCTCTATTATTTACCAGTAATAACAATTATGGAGAGTCTTAATTTCTCAGCAGATAAACCATGAAGAGCAGGGCAGGGGATCTAAAACTGAGAAGAAGGACAGGTCAGGGAGAGAAGTTGTAATGGGGAAAGAGAAGAGCAGTAGTGGAAGAGAAGGGTGATGTGTCCATGAAGACTGCAACTCCCAGGTTGACAAATCATTAAGAAAAATGCTTAGAAATTTCAAAGCTGTCCTAGATCTTTGCTAATTTTTTAAAAGTAGGTGTAATAGAAGAGCAGAATCTGTAGTTATTAAAACTTGGATCAAGATAGAACTGGTATATTAGTTTTTAGCATATGGAAATGGCCCTGCCACACTGGAGAAGGTCAGCACTTCTTAGACATTCTCTGCATAACTTCATGAAAGGGAAACATGGAAATACTTTCTAACTCTGAGTTAGCTCAGAGTTAGAGCTTGCCCATGCCAGGACTGGATCTTTGAATAAAATAAAATTCAAATAAAAAATGTATTATTCCTTCTACATTGCTAACTTAATATGTGACATAAGTTTGGATGTTTCAGAAGTTTTTATAGAGATCATCAAGAAAACTCGATGCACATTCAAAAGAAGAATCTCTAATACTCATTTGTACTTATGCAGAATCTCACCTTCAAAATCCATATAAGGCATATTAATTGGTCATTTTCCTTTCACTTCTGAAAATTTGTCTAGTTGCAACTGTTGCTTAATTTTTCCTCATGTCATTAAAAATGTGTATCTGATCTTTTCCTAAATTACTGATGTACTGGAAATACATATAATAAACGCTTTCTGTGTTGAACTTCCTCTTGCATTTTGTGCTTTTAACACAGTTACAGTGTTGTAAACAAAAAGTTGTTCTTTTGGCTTTGTCTCAAACTAAGTGGAAGAGGTCTAGGATCTACCTGAAACTTCATCCACTCACCAGGACTGGAAGCCCCAAGCTAGGTAGCTGTAGGAAGAGGCAAGGAACTCAAAGTGATCAAACCATCCTTGGGTTTGACCCCACACTCCTACGTGATGTCCACTCAGGGAACTGAAAGGACTGTGTATGAGATACAACTACTCATAGGCTAGATTGGAGGCAAGCCAAATTTTGCCTTTTTTCCCTAGGCCCTTACTAATCCTTGTTTTTGGGAAGACATAGAATGTAAAGACTGGGAACCCAATGAAAAGTCCCTTCACAAGGCTGTGAATACAGCTTGCCTACACGGCCTGCTCCACGCCTCTGGCTTGGAACCTACTATGATCTTGGTGGGTCTTCTGGGAGTGGAAGGAGACTTGGACAGCCTTACCTAACCAGTTTTTTTTCTAGCTGGTTAGGAAGGACCAATGCAAAGATGGGAGAGCCAATGAGTGAGAGGCATTTTTTCCAAAAGGGGGCTCTCCCCACAGAAGATACTGAAGTACTACTACTCTTTCCCCACCAAAACTGACGTTCCCTATACTAGTTGGAACACAACTAAAATGTAAAGGATGGGGATGGGGCACATTATGTGGATATAATGTTGTAGGTTTTCAATATTTTATGTGATTTGGGTGGGCCTATCATGCTTCTAATGAGTTCTGGTGGTACAGTGGTTAAGGCATTCTGCTAATGTAAAGGTTATGGTTGAAACCCACTGTTCACTCCCTGGAAGAAAGATGAGGCAGTCTGCTTCTGTGAAGATTTACAGCTTTGGGCAGTAAACCACTCTGTTCTATAGGGTGTCTATGAGTCAGAATCAAGTCAATGGCAGTAGGTTTGGTTTAGGGTTATCATGCTTCTGACAAGCACTTTTTCTCTCTCAAATTCCAAGGATATATGGGATATCACCCTTCTCAGCTCTGTGGAACCTTGTCACCATATCCCAATTCAGAGAACTTATCCCAGATCATAGTTTTTCACTCCTGAGGAGTATTGGGGTGGGAATAGGGATGAAAGCCATGCATTTGTGAGACCAACATGAGTGAATTTTTAGGAGTTTGTAACCAGGGGGGAGTGCTACTTTGTGAAGGGTTGTCCCTATTATTAAGAAACATTTTGCTGTTCTTTAATTTTTGAAGCTTAATGTTTAAATGTTAATGTCAATGTTTAATAATTTTGCATTAAAATCTTTATGCTTGAACTCATTTAATCCATAAAGCAAAACCAGAGAATAGTAAAACAGACCCACTTTATTATAAATCTATGAATATGGTGTTTATCATTTTACTGAAATTAAATTTTGCAGCAAACATGTTTGATAGTTGGTAACATGAAAAGATACTGAGGGAATCATTTTTCTCTGAGAAGAAAAAACACTGAAAAATGAGTTACAATGATGCCAATCTAGGTATACATACACAAAAGTTAGTCTAAGGAAGTTTTCAGTGAAGTTCTTACATTACTAGGAAGACATCATTCTTTGGTGGCAGAAAACATGAATTGATCATATAATGTTCTAATATCTTACTTTTCCCCCAATATAATGTCTGGGCATTAACAAGAAAAGTTAGGTTTTCTATGGTATGTATATGTGATTCCTCACTCTTTTCAAGGAGCAACTCAGAAACTGACAACAAAGTAATCTAGTGATTGCTTTTATAAAACTGATGTGCCTAAGAATTGAAGATATGGCTATAAAATGACAGAAATTGAAATGTAAAGTATATATACACTTACCACGGTGTTTGCATATCTATACATTTCACACCTTTACAGAGTCCTGCATCTTACATAAGTAATCTTTTATGTACATTCTAACATACAAAGAGCTTTCCTTCCAAATATATTGCTCAATCCTCAGAAACAATAAGTAAATTGCACTTGTTATAAATAATCTATAATATTTTAAGGGCAGCCAGAAGCAAAGCTAGTTTACTATCACCTTGTTGGTTAAGAATACTAAAAAAGTAAATACCCCAGAATTGTCAAAAAATGTATCACTGTTTGTATTTTGATATAAGCATCTTTTTGTTAAGAATTTATCAGTTGTCTAGTACATGTTGTGTGTCTTCTATGTGTGCAACATGGTGGGTGCTGGTTCTCAGTGTTGG